CAAAGTAGAACTGTCTGTCTGCCTCACTCGATGGCACCCGATCAGGATGAAACACAACAACTTTGCTTTTGTCTAGGTGCACATCCATGTGGTTGACACGACACCACTGAAACAAACGATCCAAGCTAAGTTGAAGCCCAGCGCCAGTAGTGTGCATGAGAGCGAGGTCATCAGCATATAGCAGGCAGAAGACGAGCAGATCGAGTAAACGGAGAAGGTCAGGTGGAGATGCATGTCCGTCGCGAATGAAGCCAGGCAAATCAATTAACAAAGAGGGAAAACAGCAAGGGGCCCAGAACATCGCCTTGCTTAACACCATGCAGCTCATTGAAGACGGTAGAGAAACCCTCATACCCGCCATCCACACGAGCCTCTACATTTGCATACAGGGCCTCGAGAGCTCGAACGAGTCGCTCGCTAATGCCACTAGCACGTAACTTACACCACAGCAGGCTACGATTGATCGAGTCGAACGCCTTGCGAAAATCAACAAAACAAACAGAGGGGAGTTAGCTCGCCTGGCCCGCTCGATGAGCGATGCCAAGACAAAGCACTGACCGATCGTGGAGTGGTTTGTGCGAAAACCTGCCTGCTCAGGGCATATTGTTGACTGACGCAGCAGCTCTGACTAAAGCACATTACCATACAGCTTCATGAAGACAGGCAGTAAGTGAATCCCTCTATAATTGCCAGGGTCATTCAGGGGGCCTTTCTTATGGATGGGATGAATGAGAATGCGATCAAATGAATATCCCCAGTGAGACGCCCGAAAGAAAGTGGAGAACACAGCAGCGAGATCATGCAGTAGTGGGTCCCCCATTTGACGGACCACAGAGTAAGTAATCCCATCCATGCCTGGTGCACTCGACTTAGAGCAGCTAGTCAGGGCACCATGCAGGTCGGCAGAAGTGAAGGGTTGATGTACCTGCCAGCTGACTACCAAAGGCGGGCCACGCACCGCCTCATTCAGCAGCTCAGCCAGCGCAGGAGACATTGCATTGAAGTACGGTACATTGAGGCCTTGAAAAAGCTCGGCAAACGCACCAGCGAACACATCAGCTGACGGACAGTCAACAGGCAACCGAGATGATGTGCCGGGGGGGGAGAGCAAGCGCCAGAAGTCGCGAGGGCAGCGGCGCGAAAGGGTCACCTCTCGCAACAATGCACTGGCCCGAGCAGACTTGTGGCTACGACAGACACGATCACGATAGCTGCGGGCACGCAATGACTCATCTAGCATGCGGGCAGTATCCTGTGCAGACCCATATCGTAGCGCATATATATAAGCACGGTATGCATGAGACGCACGCGAGATTGCACGATTGACCTCAGGGGAGCGAGGACATTTAGACACGCCAAAATGACGGCCCTTGCCTTCTAGCTGGTTGAGGAGGGTGTGTGCAGCCCTCGCTCGACAGTCGATAAGACGACCGTGCCGATGCAAGAGACGAGTCAGTGAGTCAAGCAGTGCTCGCGCGCAGGATGCCGCTTGAACGGCATCCCCACGTCGACATGCATCAGAATGTGCTGAGCGCAGATGAATGTGAGCAGGGTCAGTCGCCAATGATGCACGAATAGCACCGACAGCCTGCGCACCCCACACGTATCTCACCCTACCCTGCCTTTTGACAACAGTCGTACTGGTGACGAAAGTATCCTTGGGGACGAAAATAGGGGCCGTTGGCGGGTTCAGATAACTCCAGGTGTGCAGCATGCCTTGCTTGTGGGCAGGCTGGTAGGGTGGGAGGCTGGTAGCTGTCTGCATGGACGCCAGCGACGGGTTGCTCGTGGAGCGAGAGAAGATTTGGCCCTCACGGTCGAGCTCCTCCTGCTGCTCCTCCGTGATTGGCGTCAGCACGGGGTGCGACGCGTTGGCACTGTGCGCTGCATGGGGTGGGCAAGAGGGGAGCGGCTGGTCAGGGGGTGAGTAGGGGGTGGGATATGGGCATGTGGGCGGGTGAGAGAGTGGGGGCTGCTGATGCGGTCCAGAGGGAGTGGACGACGCCGCCGGCATGGACGCGACAGACGCACCGGGAGGGAGGAAGGGGACATACGGCATGGGCGGCGCCATCGGCGCCATATATGGCGCCGATGGTGCCATCGATGTGCCTGGCGCCGAGGACCCTGACGGCCTCAATGGCGCGACGGCCATGGGTGGGCCGGCCGGCAGGGGCGGCATCGGTACACTCGCCGGCATGGACGCACTTGGCGGGCCCATTTGGGTCGGCAGGCCCGCTGTACCCGATAGCGGCTGCGGGTACGTCTGCGGATGCGGCAGAAGGGGTGCCGCCTGCTGGATTGGCCCACGGCGACGTTGGCATTGGTTGGGCGTCGGTCGAGGAGGGCGAGAGGATGGGGCGGATGGGGGAAAGGCATCAACAGCCTCGTTGAGTGTGTGCACTCTCTCTGTATAGTCACGCGCAGACACTCGGGGAAGGGCGACCGCGGCAAGGGTGTGCACGTCGTAGGTGGAAGCGGCTCTCGAGATCGCCTCAGCCGAAGGGATGGCTAGCGCGGGGCCGACATAGTTGTCATCCGCCTTTTGGGTACGCTCTGCCAGGCGCAATCCGTACTTGAGGTGGTCGCCAGCCGTTCTCTCAGTCAGCAGCAGGTAGGTCGGTCCATTGAAGAGCTGCAGGCCATGACCGCTCTCCATACGTGCATGCAGGGCTGAGGCCAAGTCGCCATCGTGGAAGTGGATGATGACATCGCGCGAGCGGGAGCCCACTGCAAAGCACGCGAAGCTGCGTGTGTCGAATGGGGGGAGGGAGGGGGTGGCGTTGGCCAGGAGGCTGCAGATGTACGCCTTGAGGTGGGCGGGGGGAGGGGAGGGTCATTGGGGCGTAGCACGTTCTTGATGCGAAGCCGCCCTTGAACAGCCTCTTGCTCGATGGCGTCCAGGCGGCTGTCGTGGTGGATGGCGACCGTGGTCATGTTAGCAACTGCTCGGCAGACGCCGCCCAGCAGCTGCTCGTGCTTGTGCCCGAGATGGTTGACGGTGTCATCGAGGCTGCGCATGGAGTCAGCCGTTGTCTCCTGGACATCGGCCACGGCGTCGGGGACGATGTCGGCGGTCGCTCGAATGGCCAAGTCGTAGCTGCACGCTGCAGCCGCCACGCCGACCTTGATGAAGTCGTTGAAGTGTGGAGAAGTGCTCGAAACTCCAAGGTGCATCACCAGCTGCTTGATGGCGGTCTCCATTCCCGCCATCTTCTGCCCGTCAGCCGGAAGGTCTGCAGCTATCTGCTTGCCGAGGATGCGCTGTTAGAGTGCTGCTCGACGAGCTGGTGGATCATCGTGGGAAACAGCCATGGGGGATGGTGCAGCGGGTGAGGGAGCGTCCATTGCGAAGGGGAAGTGAGAGGGGGTGGGCTCGAAGCTGCGCTATGACGTCACGGCAGATTGGCCGAGTGAGGGGCCTCAGGGGATGATGGTGCGGGTTCAGGACCCACACCGGGTGATTTTGCCGAAGGCGGCAGTGGGAAGAGCCCGAGCGGAGCGAGGGCGGCCCGAGTGGCAGTGGGAAGAGCCCGAGCGGAGCGAGGGCGGCCCGAGTAAATGGCGCACACCTGATGTAGAGAGCGACAATGGCGCACACCTGATGTAGAGAGCGACAATGGCGCACACCTGATGTAGAGTGCGGTGTAGGAATCTCTACGAAGATATGCGTGAGCCCGTGCCTCCGTTGGCTCCTGACTTGGTTTGCCTTCCGGCGTCTGTTGCGAGCTTGGAGGCAAGGTGTGGCTTAGAGCAATCTCCCGAAAATGGCAGGACCTCTCTCTCCTCCTCTCGCCGGACGCACATCCTTTGGCACTGGTATTGTATGATGACTGCCATCAGTAACCCGCCCTGGATCTGCCAAGGCAAGAGAGTAGGGTGATGGGATTGCGACTATCCGTTGCGGCTGCGGTATGCTTCGTCGGCCTGCCCGCTGCCGTCTGGGGAGATGAGCATGCCGTCGTTGTCAGCGCCGATGGATCGGCGCCACCCGCGGCCACCGCAGCGACAGATCACGACGCGCCACACAGACGGGTCAATCAGCACAAACACGGGAATATGGAAAGCCACGCACGGCCTCATTGTCTGTCTGTCGTGCCTGTCTGTGTGCGTCTGTTGGTAACAGATCCGCGGCCAGTTGAGGTCGCCGCCGGCAACTCATGCAGACCATTCTTCTGGACAGTCAGCAGTTGAGGCTGCCGACTCAGTACACGACCCGTCTCTCCCTCATCAGCGGACTCTGCAGATCTCGAGACGGAGGCGCAGTCGTCGGAGGCTGGACGACGATGAGGATGAGGATGAGGACGAGGACGACGACGACGACGACGACGAGGAGGACGAGGATGATGATGAGGACAATGGCTTTGGCGGCGGGTTTGATGACGACGACGATGATGATGTAAGCACACTGGCATGGCATGCAGACAGGCATTCCGGCCGGCAAATCGAACGAACGACCATGCGTGTGTGTTGCGCTGGCTGGCTGCAGCCGTACGAGGATGACGATCTGGACAGGAGGCACGAAAGGCCAAGGCCAAGACCAAGACTGCCGTGACCCTCTCCATTATACACACTAGGGTAGATGGATGGATGTACGTGTACCTTACCGGCAGCAATCACTGCGTACCGACGACACACAACCATACAAATACAGGGAGGGAGGGACAGAAAGGCCGGGTGGGTGGGTGTGATGGTGTGAGGGTAGGTAGGTAGGTAGGTAGGTTGGTAGATGCAGGCAGGGCTTTTGTGTGTGCGTGTTGCCTGGTTGGTTGGTTGGTACGTGTGTGCGTAGGTATTAGACAGACTCCGACTAGGAAGATATGACCCCGGTGCGCAGAGAAGGGTGCGCTGGCGGCTTGTTGTGTCTTCCTCGTCACCTATTAAAGGGCGGGCGGGAGGGGCGGACGGACGGACGGATGGATGGATGGATGGGCGAGAGGAGGGGAGAGGGGGGATGGGTGGGTGGGCAGAGAGGTAGGGGTAGGGTACGCGAGTCAGTCAGTCAGCCACTCACTGTTTGTGTGGTTGCTGTTTTCTACGGCCGGCTATCTATCGGGTCGTCTCTCTTTGTCTTTGCAGACAGAAGGCATTTATGTGTCTGTCGCGAGGCGAGGCACCTACCCTACACACCTAAATGCACACACGATATTCACACACATGTGCGCACCGCACCTGCCTGCCTGCCTGCCTGTTTTCTGGCTCTTTTGCATGTGAGTCCCTCAGCCAGCCAGGCAGGCAGCCAGGGGTGGAGGGAGGGAGGGAGGGATTCAGCCAGCGAGGAGTGTACCCGCCCCGCCGGCGATGTATTCCCTCCCTCCCTCATTCACTCATCCACTCATCCACTCCCCACGTATCTATGTGCGGCTGCCAGCCAGGCAGCTTTGATGATGTGCGTACCTGCGTATCATTTGGGGCCTTTATAGTCCTTCAGTGCTGCAAATGCATCCATTCGTGATATGCCATGCCATGCGGTCAACACTCACGTGCGGGTGGGATGGGTCAAGCGGGGTATATGACAGGTGGGGGAGTGTGTGGAGTGGAGGGCGTTATTTGCCGTCATTTGAGCATGCACAGCAGGGACGGACGGACGCCATCCATTTTTCTCTCTGTGCAGTGAGTGAGTGCATGGCCACAAACGAGAGAGCAGGGGGGGACAAGGCAGACTGTGAGGGATGATGCGTGTGCTGTCTGTCGATGACACTGTCTGTGGTGACACTTTGGCCTCTTTTGTGTCGTTTTTATCGTGCGTGTACAGTGATCGATCGATCAGTCGGTGGGGTTGTTCGCCTGCCCGGCCTGCCTCTCCTTCCCCCTCCCCCTCCCCCTCCCCCTTGTATGTGGCTGCAAGAGATCGATCACTTGAGTGTGCGTCTGTACGTATGTGGTGGTGTGTTGCCCTTTCATCCGGTGGCTTGGTGAGGGAGTCAGTCAGTGTAAGCTTTATAAACAATCCTGGCCTGCCTGCCTGGTTTGTGTCGTCAGTCTCTGTCTGTCTGTCTGTCTGTCTGTCTTTGTCTGCCTGGGTGCCTGGTGTCTGTCGGTGGTTAAGGCAAGGAGTGCCTGTGCGGTGCGTGTGGTGCGCTCCAAAGGAACCGATTGCTGCATTCGTGCAGGTGTGCATGCCGTGCCGTGTGCCTGTCTCGTCTGCGTGGGACCGACAAGTTGAGCAGTGAGTGAGATGTGTCGACTGGCACGGATTTTCACTGCTCACTACAGCCATGCGAACCGATCTGTTGCTATCCGAGCTCATAGAAAGAAACAAACCATTCTTTGCCGCGAGCCAAGTGTCTCGTCAAACGCCTGAATCGACCGACCGACCGACCGCTAGAAAACCGCAACAGGGTGGTCATCAACATACATAGGGCAAGAAGGTATGAAAGCAATGGATGCATCGAAAGATCTCCATCCATGCATGTCGCTTCTTTGTGATCTTGTGGATGTTCGATTGTGTCGATAGATCAGGCGAGGCGATGGATGGGGATCAGCCGACGGCCCGCCAGCCTCAAGGCTACGTGCATCTGGCCGACAACACCAAGGCAGACAGCAGAGCACTGGCCGACGCACCAGCGGCGGCAGAAAAAGCCTCAACATGGCCGCAGTACACCAAGACGCTCTCCGTACTGGCTGTTGCCTTGCTCAGCATGCTGTTCGGCGCCCTGATGCTGTTCTCCTGCTCCATGGCCTACTTCCGCGGCCGGTCAGCCGGGCCCATGTACCTCTCTGGCGACTACGACGTGTGCTATTACCCGGACTACAGCAAGAAGACGCTCAAGACGGCATACGAGGAGACGGTCTTTGCGCTGCTGAGCGACACGAGGGAGGAGAAGAAGTTTGAGGCGTCTGAGGTGATCTATGTGAACGAGACCTTCTGGGTGGTGTGCGACAACAGCTGGGCTCTGGGCCGCTTCGACCGCACACTCAGGCCCTTCTCGCCAGACAACCGGCAGATTGGAGACCCCAAGAATGAGGCCAAGGGGGGCGACTCGCAGTGGGAGGCACTCGTCTATGACAGACAGGTGCAGTGCGTGACATCAGCGAGGCGAGGCACGCACGCGGGCACATGGATGGCCACACATGAATGACTGCATGCTTGTCTGTGTGGGTGTGCGTGTATGTGTGGTCTGCTGTGCTGCAGCGTCACCTCTTTCTGGCCGTGCAGGAGGCCGTCCCTCTCTCAGAACTGCGGAAGGAGAGAAAGGGGCACAAAGCTCTCAAGGGCAGCGAGCCTGAGAGCGGCTTCCGAGGGGTGGTGCAGGAGCTGCGGCTCAAGGGCCATGGCGGCAAGGAGGGATACGTCATCGATCGCGAGTGTGAAATGGACTTCACTTTCGAGGTGCGAAGAAGAAAATCATTCAGCATGGACAGTCTACGCGTGTGTAAGGATGGATGGATGGAATGATGGATGGATGTGTGTGTCATTGCAATCTGTGTGTCCCCCTGTGCAGCATGGGAATAAGGGGTTTGAGGGTGCCGTTGGCCTGCGTGACACCAAGGGGGAGCTCTACCTTCTTGGTCTGTGCGAGGGCAACTTCTGCAAAGGCGGCAAAGAGGGCAAAAGGCCAGGTACGGTGCGTGCGTGCATGGCATGGCGAGCAGACACACGTGCGGGGTGGGGTCCTCAGTTGCATGTCTGTCATGTGCCTCGTGTCTGTCTGTCGTTCGTTCAGGCAACGGCCGGATGATCCTGTTGAGAAGAGACGACACAGACGGCCGATGCCAGTGGAAGTCCATGCGGGTACCGTCCGAGCAGCACGCTGCTTGCCTGCCGTATGGATCGATGGCGTGCCATATATGTTCGTGTTATGTATCCCTTTCAGACGATCCCTCTGCCTGAAGAAATCAGCTTCATAGACTACTCGGCAGCAGCCATCAGAGGCTCCAGGATCGCCATCACATCTCAGGCAGGGGCGGCACACAAGAGATAGATGAGTACCTGCTATGCTCTGCTCTGCTCTGTTCTGCTCGCCTCCGATATATGTGTGTGGATGTGTGTGTGCAGGAGTCGTCTGCTGTGTGGATTGGCGAGATGAAGGTCAACAAGGACGGCTCGATTGACCCAAGTAGCTTCGACATCCTGCCAAAGGGGCAGATATACAACTTCCCACGGTGAGCATACCATCCTGTCTGTGTATGTCCGGAGGACCCTCTGGAGATTAGATTAAGTGCTCTGTTGATGTGATGTGTGTCTGAGCAGTGACGATGAGTGTCGAGTAGAGTACTGCAACATTGAAGGGGTGGACTTCATCAACGACCGGCTGCTGGTTGCTGTGTCGGACAAGATGAAGAGCAGGGGCAGGCAGGACTTCAGATGCCTCCAGAAAGACCAGAGCCTGCATGTCTTCGCCATCCCATGAGACAGACAGACAGACAGATTCGTGTGTGTGTTTTATTAGTTAGGCAATGGCTGGATCTACCCCTCTCTCCTGTGTGTGTGTGTGTGTGTGGATGCGTGTGGACCGGCGGACAGAGGAAGACTCGTCCTTCCTCATGCATGTCCCCATTTATTTATGTCCACTCGACCGACCGGAGAAGAAGAGAAAAATGACACACACACACACACACACACACATGCACAGATTCCCCCTCCCCCCAAGATGCCACTTAGTAAGTCAGTCGAGAAGTCTCTCACTGTCTGGTCACGTACTCATCCATATCTCTCAGGGCGGCCGCCTTGGCCCGCACCACATCAGCCCTCTCCCTCGATGACGATCGATAAGGCACCACTGCACGACATCCCTCAGACCCCACCCTGTCGCCCCTCCTCCGCACACCCACAAGCGACCCATGGCCGCGGCCGTAGATCTTGCATGCAGCATCAAAGGATTTCCTCCCCACGTGGTGTCTGTCCTCGGTGTCGGGTCGCCATGCAGGTCCATCACGCAGCGGCCCTGGATCAACCCACCTCTCGCGGGCTGACGGCTGACGAGCCGTCAGGGGCGGCTTCTGTGTGAGGGGCGGAGATAAGATCGCCAGCGCAGACACAGGCCGTACGCGGTGGGTGGCCGGTTCGCTGTCGTGTCTCCTCTTCACTGTTGCCGTCGAGGGCCTGGCAGCAGCAGCAGGTGAGGTCAATGGCCTGGCTGACGGCCGCGGAGAGGGGGAGGCACTGGCGGGCCGTGCACGCGCCTTGAGGGTGGTGGGAATTGCGGACGCAGGGCGGGATCGGACTGGTGGGGAGGACCGTCTCCGTCTTTGAGTCATCGGATCGGCGGATTGCGGCCGGCTGGGCGTTTTGTCGCCCTTTCCCTTGGTGCTGCCACTGGTGCTGAGCCAGTAGATGGGCGTGGAGGAGGGGCGTAAAGAGGGCCGCCAGACGGGCAGCGGCATGGTTGGGGGAAGTGGCAGCGGCATGGGTATGGGTAGAGAAGATGACGGACGCTCTGCGGCCGACCGCATAGTGAATGTCTCGGGGTGCTCCAAAGACAGCAGCCATTCTTCGTCGCTGATGGTGGTCTCCTCATCCATGTCTTCCTTGGCGGCCGACGCGGTGTCCTCGATCATCATCACGCCGGCCCTCCGCCCATCCACCACAGGCGGGGCGGAGGGCGGCCGTATCCTCCTGCCCTTTTCCTTCTTTTCGTGTCTTTTGTCTTCTCCCACCAATCGCGTCACGATGGCAGCCGAGACATCCTCCCAGGGCTTCGACACGTCCACACAGGGCAGCAAGGGGAAGTTGGGCGGGTATTCGACAATCGCTCCCTCGGTCTCGCCTGCTCCTCTGCGAACAACATCCATAGCCGACGATGGCCGGCGAGACCTCTCGTGTGCGTATTGCGGTGGTGGGCTGATGCGCAGTCTGTGCAGGTCGATGTCTCGGTCGAGCAAAGGCGGCTTCTGCCCTTGTGTGTGGTCTGTGTAGGCCCTCTGGAGCGCCCTCCATCGGTGCTCGGGGGGGCCGATGTCGAGTGCAGAGCGGAGAGACATCCGCAGGATGGTCACCTGTTAGTTAGGCGGAAGCAGGAAGAAATTGACAACTTCTGTATCTGCGTGTCCTTCATTGCTCACTCACCTTTTCTGCGATTTGTTGTCTGGTGGCTCTGAGCTGCTGGATGTGCCTGAGCTGAGCTGCGATGCGGCCGTACTTGGCTTCTTTGCGCTCGAGACGCAGTCGCTGAAACAAACACTCACAATGAGACAGACAGACGGTAGGGCGTCTTCCTCATGGCAGGTCGCTCACGTCGTCGTAATCGCGGGCTCGCTTCTTCCTCGCGATCTCTTGGGCACGCTCTGAATGTGGAGAAAATTGAATACACGCCGGATGAGTGGATCCGTGGATAGGTCATTGTTTGCATACCAAACATGCGCAGCCTGTTCCCCTCTGCCCGTATCTCGTGATTGATGCGAGCCAACCGCTCTGTGGGTGGGGGAAAACACAGTAAGCACACAGTAGCAAAGCGGTCTGCCGAGGTGACAGCGAGAGTGTGTGTGGGTGACCTCTTTCGAATACAAGGTCTCTCTCGCGCAGCTGGCGGCCCATCAACGCACCTGCACAAGGCATACCATACCGAACACAGTACTTCGGTCGCACCGACCTGTGTTTCTGTTCTGTGTGTGTCTTATCGTTTGCTTTACGTCTCTGTTTGAGGGATTCCTCTCGGGCGCTTGCCACGGCTGAGGACGCACATACAGACAGACAGTCCACATGAGGGCCCGCCTATTCATTGGTCGAGTGTCTGTCTCTACCGTCGTCTTTCAATTGCTGTCTCGCCGCACGGTCCTCGCGCATCTGCTGGACACCAGCCTCCCTGAGAAAGCAGGCAAGTCCGCTCAACAGATGTGTTTTTAGACAGGTGTAGTGTAGCTCCTGACCTCTCAGCCATCTTCCGCGCGAACTTCGCGTCATCCAGGTCCAATCTGTATATATACGCACGCAAGGCATAACAGAGACACGCAGTACAGCACCGGTGCACCGAACATGGCTATTCTCCGCCCGCCGTGGATAGGTACATGTATCCTCCCACCGTTCCTGTATCATCATCTTTTTCTGTTCCTCTTGTGTGATGGCCTTTTGCATGTAAGCCGCGCGCCTTTTCGCGAGCTGCTCGGCCCGACGCCTGTACACAGAGGGAGGGCATGACAAGCAACAAATCGACACACACACTTGTTGTATCGTATTGTGTAGCTAGCTTACTGTCTCGCTGCGCGCCTCTCTGCCATCTGCAGCTTGTGCCGCTCAAGGCTGGGTAGCAGAACACAGAAGGAGGACAATACCAGCCACCGATACCTACCGCAAGATGGGTGGCTTACGTGGCCATTTCCTTGGCGTGGAGCTTCTTGGCCAATTGCCGGTACTCTTCTGCCAGGGCCCGCTCACGCTGCTCCTGAATAAAGCAAATGTGACCATCAACCGACGCCCCTTTGTTTGCTGTTTACCCGTCTCCTCTGTCTCTCGAGCGCCGCCTCCAGCAAGTAATCGGCACGCCGCCCAGGAGACACCGAAACCAGTGCCGTCATATCGCCGCCATAACTAATCAACAATGACACCTCGTTCGTTCGTCTGTCTGTCTGTCTGTTTATCTGTCTGTCAGTCTGTCCGTCTGTCCATCTAGTTATCGTCACCCACCGTGGAGCTGTTTCCCGCTCTGCAGACACGGGCGATGTCAGTGCAAAGATGTTCCCCTCACCAGCGAAACCATCTCGCTCATCCCGTCTGGGCGACCCTGATGCCGACGCCGCCGAGGCAGACGAGCCGCCCAAGGACGACCGGCGCGGGCTGACGTCGTCGCCTGGCGCATGATAGGGGAGGGAGAAGGGTGAGGAGGGCGGGATGGGCGAGGGTGGGCAGGAAAGGGAGAGGGTCTCAGCCAGGGGATGATGTATCTGCAACAGCCGGGCGGCCCGCAGTCGGTCAGCAGTCTAGACAAGAAAGGGAGATTGACATAAATGACATTGGGCAATTAACTGTGCGTGATGTTCTTTCTCATGCCTACACTTCGGGCGGCGAGTCTCTCTTGTGCCCTCGACTCCAATCTACACACCACAGCATCCACGGATTGCAATGAGTGGACGCACACAGACTTCTCCTCACACCTCTCCCTCTTCTCGGCATATCTTGTCTCGGTCATCCGTCTGTGTCGATATCGACCGTCGCTCATCTCGTACCGCTTCTCCACTTCATCCGCCACCCTCCGCCTCACGCGTGTCTCCCGACGCTGCATCGCAGCCACGGCTGCGAACTGGTGGACGTCACGCTCCAGTGGCGGCTGCAGAGACTTCTCAATCGAGCGCCGACAGCTGCACATGAACGAAATGCCAGGCCGCTTTGTGTATGTGTGTATGTGTGTGTGTGTGTGTGTACCCACCGCTTCTGTGCCTCCTGTCTGTCTTTGTCGCGCTCCTCCTTCCTTATCTCCTTTTCGTATTCCTGGAGGCTCGTCCACTGCGACAGTTTCTGCTCCTTGCGCATCTGCATGTCCCTCTCCTGCTGCTCAGCAGCAGCCGCAACCCTCTCAACCTTCTTGCGACCGATGGCGTGGAGCAGCTCTGAACCAACAGCAGCACACTGCAAGTCTTAGACGGCGGTGTAATACTATGTGACTGACTGACGTCCCTGTCGCTCTTACCCTTTCGTCTCCTCTCCCTGTGCTCATACCGCATCCTCGTCACTTCCGCCGCACATTCGGTCGGCACAGGCCGCAGCGGCACACATCCCCTCGGCAGACCCAGCGTGGCGACCGGCGGATGACACCGCCTCGCCAGGGTGGCATCAATCAGCGACTGGAGCCGTCTCTCGCCCCTCTCCCTCTCTCGCCGGGAAGGCCCAGGCCCCGTGGACGGTTCCGGTGAGTAGAGGAGGGAGATAGGCGGCCGGTGGGCCAGCTCTTCAGGTTTGATGCCCAATATGTTGCGGCTCTCCTTGGAGCGGCTTGTGAGGTCTTGGGTGCGCTCAGTCTCGGGCATCTCGAGGACCGCCTCGATGGGGATCAGGGAGCGTCGACGACGCATCTCTCCTTACTCTCCCATCAGTCTTCTTACGTCT